CTGGGCCTGGGGCGCAGGAGGGGCGTTCCCAAGGCCCCAGCCTCTTGGGGGGGGGGGGGCTGGGCAGCTGCACCTGCCGGCAGGGCCACCTGTTCGGTCAGCGGGTGCCCATCGCCCCACCCCCAGCTCTCCCTGCTCCTCAAGCCCCTCTGAGGCCCAGCCCCCCTCTCCTCTAGTCCACCTGGGAGGGGACCTGCCGCCTGGTCCCCTGCCCAAGTCCGCCCCCCAGCCCTGCAGTCCCCAGGATCCGGGCCATCGGTTCCCGGCAGAGGTTTCTGGGCTCTGGAAACTCCTGGGCCCTCTCTCCTCAGTCAGCCCAGTCCCCCCAAGGCGGCTTCTCGGGGAGCCTGTGCCAAACTGCCCCCCAGGCTGCCAGTATGGAGAGGCCCGCAACCAGCCCTCCCCTCCAGACCAGCGCTGCCCTGGGCTGTGGCTGCCGAGAGGCCGCGGCCGGCGGGCTCGCTCCTGCGGGTGCTGGTTCCTGTCCATCTGTCCATCCGTCCATCCGGCTGCTTTCCGGTCTCTGCTCTGCCTCCGGTTTTAGCAGCTGAACTGTGATCGGTCTAGGCCCAGTGTTCTCTGAATTTATCCTGTTTGGGGATCAGTGAGCTTCTTGACTCTCAAACTGACGTCTTTTACCACATTTGGGAAGTTGCAGCCATTATTTCTCTATGTTTTGCTCACCGGCCCGGCCTCCCCACAGCCCCAGGCCTCCCTGCCCGGTTCTGCTCCCACAGGCCCGCGGCCCCGTCCGGCTCTGAGGCTGGCGTTTCTTCCGCACGGCTGCTGCCCGAGCCGAGGCGTCGACTGTCCGTTGGTCCTCACGACGCCTTCCGCTGCTGTCTGGCGGCTGCCCCGCCCAGCTCGGCGACCCTGCGTCCTTCCTCCCTTGAAACTGGCCACAGCACCACGGCTCCTGGACGCCCAGCGACCTGGGTCGTGAACGTGACCCTGACGGTCGGCCGTGCAGCCTGGGTCTGTTCTCACGCTCTGGAGAGCGCGACTTCCTCCTGGCTGCCCAGCCCCCAAGGGGTCAGACCTTTCCACTCGCCTCCCGTCAGGTCCCGTCAGGGGTCAGCGTCAAGGCCTTTTGTGCTGCGTGTGACTCGGAGGTGACCCGAGGCTTCTGCTGTCCCAACAGAGCACAGGCCCCTTTCCCAGTCCTCTGCTGGGGACCCGCCTGTCGACCTGTCCCCTCGGGAGTCCCTCTGGGAGGACAGGGTCCTCAGGGCCTGGAGACAGTGGGACGGGACTGCCTCCCACGGGGATGTGGCGCGGCGTCTCCTCCCGCGTCTCCGGGGTGGTGGCCATACTGGGCGGTTGGGGCTGCGCCAGGCCAGGCCGGCAGCACTCCACGCCCGTTGACACAGGAGAGGTCATCAGGAGGGCCGCTCACCCCAACAGCGCTGGGGACCCCCCTGCACTCTCGGACCCGCCCACCAGAGCCCTGCCCCGGGAGCCGAGCGAGCTGCCCGCTCTCTGCACGCCAGTGCGCCAGGGCCAGGCGGCGGTGGCCTAGGACGTGCCCGTGGTCCCGGCCGCCTCTTAGCGGGGGAGCCGAATCGGGGGCCGTGTCCCCTGCGCGGACGAGGTGTGCTCAAGGTTTCCTGAGATCAGAGAGGACCCGGGTGGGCAGACGCTGCCCTACGCAGCAGGCGCAGTGGGCAAGGTGGCCCGGGCGCACGGCGGTGCCCAGACGAGGCTGCGGGCAGGCGGGGACAGCGGGCAGACACAGCCACTGGGCTGGCAGACGCCACCCCGCACGACGGGCCGGGCCCGGGGACACCGCACAGACGCCAACCCTGCTCCTTCCACAAGGAAGGCACTCGGGAGCCGGCACCGTGTGGCCTGCCCACCGCCCTGCTCTGCCCAGAAGCAGGAGCCGGACGGCGGGGGGAGGAGGGGTGGGTTTGCATGGATACCCCGTGTGGACCGCGTCCCTCGGGTGTGCTGTTCTGGGGCTGGGAGTGGAGTGAAACACCCAGCGTGAAGAACCCCTGCGGCCCAGCCCGGTACCGGGGTTCTGGCCAGGACAAGGAGGCGAGGAAATGAACCCAAAGGCGTCGAGTTGTCTGTTTGCACATGACGTGGTCCTGTGTACACTGCTCACAACTAGAACAGGGGTTCACCAAGGGCGCAGGACGAACACGCAGAGACTCTCTGTGTCTGCACGTGTGATGTACCACCAGAGGCTGAGCTGAAGAAAACCCCTTTTAATAGCATCGAAAGAATGAAATACTTGGGAGTAGATTTAGCAAAAGAAGACAAAACTTACACTCGGAAAACTGCAAAATGTTGTTGAAAGGAACTGAAGAATGACCCGGGCGGGTGAGACAGGTGCCCGCGTCCGCGGACTTGACTCCGCGCGGCCAGGCGCTGCCCACGCCGCCCGCCGCCCGCACGCCCTGAGCGTCTCAGCCGGCCGACTCCGGAAATCAGCGCACCGACCCTGAAGCCCACAGGGAGACTCAGGGACGCGGACCAGCCAAACCACCCCGGACCAGAGCGGAGGACTCGAGCACCCCCCACCTCAGAGCCCCTGCACAGCCACAGCCCGGGCACAAGGACAGGGCCGAGTCCAGTTGGAAACACACTCACCTTGACGGTCACCCGGCTTCCAACAAAGGTGCCTCGGACTCGGTGGGAAATGACCGTCCGTTCAACAAACGGCGCCGGGACAGTCGGACGAGGCATGGAAGACGCGGTCAGTGGATGAACTGGACGGCCTCCCGAGCTACGTCCGCGGGGAGCTGATAGTGAAGCCAGCGCAGCACCCGTGCATTCTGAACCCCCAGCTCTGCGGGAAGCTTCACCCCAAAAGCCAGATCAGAGGGCAGCGTGGCTCTTGCGCCGTGACCGCCTGCCGAGACGGGCTGTAGTGTTCTCTCCTCGGGGACAGGGTCCCAGGCAGCGAGGGGCCTGGGCGACACCAGGTCCCCAGTGTGACACTTCACCCACATGAGGACACCAGGGACGGGACAGGGTGTTGGCGGGGTCGTTCAAGGATGGGCGAAGAGGACTCATGGACACGGACAGCTGGGTGGTGATTGCAGGGAGGGGGTGGAGGTGGAAGGGGGCAGGGAAGGGATACATGGTGATGGGAAAATGAAATAAAAAAACAAAAGATGGGGGTGGCGGCAGGGGGAAGATGTCACCAGGAAAGGTCTGGAGTACCCCCTTTCCTCACGGGGATCCCCGCACACAGGGCTGGAAGGACGCTGGCCGTGTGACGGGGCCAGGGCCACGCAAGGTCACGAGCTGTCCACTGGGGAGGCTCCAGGCTGGGCGTGGCCACGATGCCAGCTCCCCAGGGCCTGGGCCCAGCTGTTGGCACACCGCCCACTGCGCCGTACTCCTTCTCAAGTTTGGGGTGCAACCAGCAACCCAGCTCCAGGCCTCTCCTGGGAAGGGGGAGCCAACTCCACCAGAGGTCCCTGTGTGGTCACAACACCCCCAGAGCTCTGCCGGGTGTCGCCCAGTTTTCTCTGCAGTGGGGCGGGGTCAGCAGGAGACCCCTGGGAGGGTGGGGACAGCAGGGCTTGGGGATGTTAGCCCGTCCCCACTGCTGGCTGGCAGCGTGACCAGGGTGCCCTCTCCTCTCCCCCCCCCAAGGTACACAAATAGGTCCTGAACACCCCCAACCAGCCCCGTGGCCCCTAAGGCCTCTCCCACCCTGGGGCACGGGCGCTGCGCTGGGCGCTCGCGCTCTGTCCTCCTCCAGGTCCGTCCCCTCAGGGCGCCAGCTGTCACCAGTTTCTCGCTTAATTCTGACTTGCAGTCGTCACAGGTCTCATGCCCGTGATCAGCTGTTAGGCTCACAGGCTGGGTTTCAGGGACAGGGGTCAGCACTCAGGAGTCTCGCCCCGGAAGGAGGGGCTAAGCACCCTTCCACGTGCACGCATGGGGTGACCTCCAAGGCGGAGTCTGGGAGGCGGCGGGCAGCGCCGGGTGTGGGCAGGGCCTCCCCAGGCCCAGGAAGGACTGGTGGGAAGACTGCCCAGCATGCGAGCTCTGACCTGCACCGAGACTCGGGGCTCCTCCCTCCTCCCGGTCGCTCCAGGAGATGAGGTGCCCCAGCCTGGGCCAGGAGGGGCTGGTGCTGCAGGGGGCAGGGGTTCTCCCTGTGCTCACCGGGGAGGGCGGCCTGCACCCCGACACCCACCGCACAGGACAGGCCTCGGAGGACAGCCCCCAGCTCCAGGGTCCTGGGGAGGCCGAGGGAACGGGCTGGGGCCATGGTGGGTGCCTCCCCAGAAGCAGGATGTCCATCTCCTGGGCCCAGGCGCAGAGGGGCAGGGTCACAGGGCCCATTCCTCCTTCCAGGTGAGAACTGCCCGGGAGCCCTGGGCAGATGGCAGCTGTTACCAAAACACCAGCAGGAGGGCCCAGCAGCCACCGCACAGGCCGTGCCAGTTCCGCAGAATCCAGACCGGCCAGCAGAGCCCCCTGCTGGCGGAGGCGTGCACTGCACCTGGGGAGGACCCCGTCACACACAGCGAGGTGCACCTGAAAACACAGGTGCCAGCTCCTGCCCGAGAACCCCAGCGCAGGCACGTCCACTCAAGGCCCCTTGGGTGGGATGCCCTTCTCTTCTCGCTTGCTTTCTGGGACATCTGGCTTCCTGCCAGGGCCTCAGGACTTCAAACCAGGCCCTGGGGCACCAAACCGCCCCCCTCCCTCACCACAAGGGTCTGAGGCCCAGCCACCAGCCATGAGAGTCACACAGATCCTCTCAGATAAGGAGAGGCTACTAGTGTCGCCCCCAAGGGAGGCAGGGCCAGAGCTCCACCTGCACCTGCCTGGGGGCAGCTGCCCAGAGGTGACCTCGAGCCAGGGCCAGCTGGCACTGGAGCCCTGGTCACCAGGCAAAACGAGAATCTCCCCTATTCCCGAATCCCCAGCCCCACCGTGGCTCTGCCCAGACAGGTGCCTTCGATGAGCGTCCCGAGGTCGAGGGACACCTGGGGTGCGGAGGGCACCTCTGACGCACTGGCTCTCCCAGACCCCAGGCCACGCGGTGGCAGGTGTGGGACCACCTTTAATGGGGGCTGAGGAGGTCTCATGTTTGTTCCTGTTGGGAGTGAAACCCCAGCGAGCCTGTCTAATTCCAGAATGAACCGTGAACCAGGGGAGTGACTTCCACCCCCATGGCCTGTGCCTGGTGCTAGATAGCTCGGCGCCGACAGGCCGGCAGGTCCCCAAGCTCCAGTCACGGGAGTCCCACGGACAAACACGTCTCATCAGCACCTCTGGGAACCCCGGCAGGACCCGCTGGCTGTCTTGTACTGTCCCTTCTTAGCAGGACCCACAAGTGACGAGTGGTGGTCAGGGCTCCTGGAGCCGTCAGTCCAGCAGGGACGAACCCCTCCTGGCCCCCCACCCCCAAATGCAGACACAGAAGCATGGAGAGGCTTCCACCCCAAATCCACGTGGCAACTGGGCGGCCGGGAAGCCTGGCCAAGGAGCGGGAGCAGCCGGAAGCGAAGGGGAAGGCGGGCTGTCTGGCGGCCTCCCCAGAGCGAGTGGCCTGCAGGTCTTCGAGGGGCCAGGACAGGAGGGCAACCAGTGCCAGGCGTGGCCGGCCGGCGTGGCCTCACGGGCGCCACGGCTTCAGAAGCTGAGTTGGTGGCAGGGTGTGGAGGCTGCCACGGAGTCCAGAAGGAGAGCAAGGCAGCAGCTGCCCCTGGGGAAGGCGCCCGGGCACCGACAGCGAGGCCCGCGTGCGTCAGCACCGTGGCCTGGGAGCCCGTCGGGCTGGCCACGCTCACACTCTCTGCGGGCACCAGCCCTGCGGCGTCCCTGCAGTCCGCGGGAGAAGGCCGAGTTAGGAGGCTGCCACCAGGTCCGCCTGCCTGGGCCGGGCCTTGACGGGGACTTTCTCTGTGGACGAAACAAAGAGATGTTTGCCCACAGGCAGAAGCTTCTAGAGGACAACAGGCGCCCAGGAGCCAGGTCCAGGCTGTAGCTCCGGGAAGAGCCTGCGTGGCTCCTGGGGCGGCGAGGCGCACACAGAACCCGCAGGGCTGGCGGGCGCCGAGCCCGGAGCGCACAGGAGCTCCAAGGCACAGGGGAGGAGACAGAAACGGGGACTTGGAACAGAGGAGGCAGGCCCAGCGGGAACTTCCGCAGGCTATCAGGTGACGTCACGGGGCAGAGGACGCTGGCCCAGGAGAGCCTGCACACCTGACCCGCCTTTGCAGGCTCCTGTCTCCAGGACACACCTCTCCCAACGGGGGGTCAGCTCTTCCGAGGCTACCCACCCCAGGGTGAGGCCGGGGCTACCCACCGAGCTGGGGAGCGGGTAGGACCCCCGGCCAGAGCACTCTGCTGAGCCGCACTCACTGTTCCCCCAGGGGTAACGGGGCGTACCTGGCTTCTTCTCAGGAAGGGGCTCTGAAGGGACCTCTGGGAGCTCAATTTGTTCCTGTAAGAGAGAGACAAAGGGCTGAGACACGACCCAGGAGGGGACAGGGTCCTGTCTGCTTGGCTGACCTCGGCTGGATTTAGGACGCACAGAACCCTCCCACTCCAAAGCCCCCAGTGCGCCCTCCTCAGCTTCCGAAACGGCTGGGACATTGTGAAGGGGGACTCGCCCCAGCATCGGGGCCCTAAGGGGCTCCCTGACACTCCGGTTCAGCGCCTGGGACGTGCCAGGACCACGGGCGCCTGGGTCTGCCGTGTGGTGGGGCTGTGTCCCAGCCGGTGCTGGCGCCCTTCTGGCCCAGGGGCAGGAAGTGACCCAGTAGGCAGGGCAGCTGGGCCCCACAGGGTGAGTAGCATCGCTAAAATCGGCCGTCCTGGCCAGCCTGCGGACGGGATGGGGCCGGCGATGCAGGCTGGGCACAGCAGGCTGGGCACGCTAGGAGTGTCCCAGAGATGGAGGCCCCCATCAGGGAGCGAGCGCCAACCTCGGGGCTTGGGCAGGACAGCCCCGTGGAGGCCTCCAGGGCTGGTGTGCGGTGGAGAAAGAAAACCCAGCTAATCAAAGAGCCACCGTCCTGCCCGCGGGAGGCAGGCCGAGGCCAGCAGGCCGCCCGCACTCTGTCCAGACCACCGGCAGCACTCCTGGGGGCACAGCTCAGGCGGGCCTCGCACCTGAGTGATCGCGTCCAGCTCTTCCAGGATGGCGTCCTCGTCTTCTTGAGTGAAGCTTCCTGCCAACAGCTCATCTATTTGCTGCGGAAGAGGAGCCAGGTGAGGCCTGTGGCTGGGCCGGGGAAGGCAGCTGCGTGGGGGGTCAGCCCTGCCTCGAGGGCCCCTCCTTTGAGAAGAGGGGCCACACAGGGCAGGGGACGGCGTGAGCCCCGGGTGGCCCCGGACATTCGCCAGGCTGGCCAGCTCACTCACTGCTGGTGAGGCGGGAAGGTGCCCCGAACCCGGCGCCACCTACCCGCTGGTACTCCACCTACCCGCTGGTACTCCACCTACCCGCTGGTACTCCACCTACCCGCTGGTACTCTACCTACCCGCTGGTACTCCACGGCCTCCTGGGTCTCGTCCAGGACCCGCTCCACCTCTTCAATGGACATCACCTAGAGACCGACCACAAGTCCTTGAGGCTCATGGGTGAGGCCTTTACAAGGACCCCAGCACTGCCCGGCCGGCCTGGCTCAGTGGAGGGAGCGCTGCCCCAGGGACTGAGAGGTCCCGGTTCGATTCCCAGTCAGGGCACGTGCCCGGGTTCAGGCTCGATCCCCAGTAGGGGGCGTGCAGGAGGCAGCCGATGGATGGTTCTCTCTCACTTCAATGTTTCTCTCTCTCCCCTCTCCTCTCTAAAAAACCAATAAAAACATATTAAAAAAAGAAAACAGCCCAGCGTGAAGGCCCCTAGACGGCCAGGGCACAAGGCCCCCCCCCATTCCTGCACAGACGGAGGCAGGCCACGCGGGACGTGTCACGTCACTGGCCATCCTGGCCCTAGGCAGCGACCCGGCGGCCCCAGCCCCGGCGAGACGAGGAGGAGTGTGTGGAAGTCGCTCTGGGCCGGCGCCCGACTGCTTTGGGCAGCAGTCCCCAGCAGCACCTCGCTTGCCTGGCAGGCACCCTGCAGCCCCCCTCAGAGAGCACCACCACCTGGGCTCTCGGCCCCGACCTGCCCCATCTGCTCCTCGGAGGCGCAGGGCTGTGCACAGCCTCTCTGGGCCCCACCCTCTTTTCACCAGCCGCATCCATGTTGCTTCTGAGAGGCGGTGCTCACCTCCTCCAGGAAGCCCTCCCGATTAGCTCACCACCCCTCCTCCATCACAAGCAGACTGTGACGTTAGCATCTGTGGATCCAACTCAGTGTCTGCCCATCGCCCTGTTCTCAGGTCAACATCCGAGTTTGCCTGGCCTGCTAGACTGTGTCCTCTCCCAGCGGTGCCGGGCTTCCCCACCTCCCGTCCAGCACGGACCCCTGGCCGACGGCCTGGGTGCAGGCGGGCACTGCCCCTCCTCTGCTCCAGCCCCGGACGACCTACCTGGTGCATCTTATTCAGACACTCATTTCCGAACTGCAAGCCCTCGATCACCTTCATTTCAATCTGGGTGAACTCAATGCTCTGGACCTGAGGAGAAAAACACCCAGACCTGTGAGGTCAGAGCCTGCCGCAGCCTCCTCGAGACTCACGATGGCATTTAGAAGAAGGCCTCAATTCCCACTCTGGGGAGACTGTCCCGTGGCCCCCCCACCTGTCCTCTCCTGCTCTCACCACTTCTGGGGTGCAGCAGGGCTGAGAGAGCCCAGGAAGGGCCACCAATGGCTTATTAGTAGCTCTGGTTAGCAGAAAGCTGGAACCCACTGTTTAGCATCTAATGCCGGGGACACCCCAGGAACCTCCTGCTGACTCCCGACACCTCCAGTCACCAGGCAGACCCCTGGCCTGCCTGAACCTCTCGCCTGAATTGGCTCAGCTCCCAGACCCCATCCTGCGAGAGCCAACCCGCCTTCCTGAGCTATAGGCCCGACCCATTCCGAGCCTTGGGCCGAGAGGTCCCAGAAAGGCAAGATGTCTCAGTCCCCAGGGGAGACCCCTGCAGCCCGCCTGGCCCTCCACGCACCCCCTTAGCCAGAAAGGCAAGATGTCTCAGTCCCCAGGGGAGACCCCTGCAGCCCGCCTGGCCCTCCATGTACCCCCTTAGCCAGAAAGGCAAGATGTCTCAGTCCCCAGGGGAGACCCCTGCAGCCTGCCTGGCCCCCACGCCCTCCGCCTACCATGGTCTCCAGGCTGGTGATCTGGTTTTCTGTCTTGTCCAGCAGCTGCTCCCGGTACCGCTTCTTCTTGAGCAGCAGCTTGGCCCGCCTGCAGAGGAGCCGGCGGTGACCCAGCAGCCCACCCCTCGCTGCCCCGCCCACCCCGGGGCCCATCCCAGCCTCCTGCCCAGCGCTGCTGGGTGCACTCACTCCTTCCTGCCGTCCCGCAGGAGCTGCCGGGCCACCTCCCGCTCGCGCTCCAGCTGCTGCGTGACCCTCTTCTGGTACTGCCTCAGCTTGTCCCGCTGCTGCTTCAGTTGCTGTGGGCACAGGTCTCGCCTTAGCGCCTGGGCGCTGCGCCCCCCTCGCCAGGCCGCCCTGAACGCTACCACCGGAAGTGCACGCTGTCTCCCAGGTGATGGGGGTGGGGTCCAGAGACCATGCTGGCTCTCAGAACTGGGGGTGAGGGGGCACCCAGGTACCCTGCAGTGCATAGGGCGCCCTCCACCCCGAGTCGGTCGGCAGTGTCCACAGTGCCAGCACCGAGAACGCCGTCTTCGGGGAGAGCAGGTGCTCTGGGGCCAGGTCAGGGGGTGTCAGTGCCTCCAAGGTTCAGTCACCCTCCCACCCCCGCAGCTGCCCTCCGGCTTCGCTCCTCCGTGGGCTCCAGCCATTTCCTCATTGTGCGTCAGCTTCCCCGCTGTCGCCACTCAGCGCACAAGGGCGAGTTCAGGTGCGCTTTGCACGACCTCGCCGGCGCCCGGGACCCTGCACTCGCGTGAGCCCTGCCCGCCCGGGGCACTCACGGCTCTGCCCAGGGCCCCGCCAGGGGCGCCGCGGAGAGCCCCAGGACACCGCCCCTCGCACTGGCGGGGCTGTCTGGGCAGATCGCCCCGAGCCCGTCGTCAGTCAGGGCTGCACATCTGCAGGACCCAGCACGGCGAGAGGAATGACCCGCCGGGGTGGACGCCCTCCGCTGTCGGGAGCGGTGGGTCCGGTCTCTAGTGTTGGCCCCAGCGCGCCACAGGTCAGACCACGCGAAAGGGGCCTGCTCTTCCCAGCCCGTCCCCGGTCGCCCGCGCTGGCCGTGCGGCCGGAGGGGGCAGGAGTGGCCAGACTGCCCCTCTGGACAGTGAGGGGTTTCAGCAGAGGGTCACGCGCCAGGCACTGAGCCTGGACGCTTCTCGGCTCGTTTCCCTCCTGGGAAAACAGCGAGCGAGGATCTGCAAAGTGTGTGCCAATTACACGGCCCCTGTGGGGACCCCACCAAGGTGGATCCTGGCAAAGAAAGGTCTCCCCGGGGAGACACCCAAAGGTGGTCGTTAGAAGAGAATGGCCTCGGGGCTTCCTGCTGGGCCAGAGGCCAGTCAGCCCGGGGCAGAGGGCGCGGGGCGGGCGGGGCGGGCAGGGTGCAGGGGGCGCGGGGCGCAGAGGGCGCGGGCGCGCCGGGGACGGGGCGGCGGGCAGGGCGCAGAGGGCGCGGGGCGTAGAGGGGGCGCCGGGGGCGGGGCGGGCAGGGTGCAGGGGGCGCGGGGCGCAGAGGGCGCGGGCGCGCCGGGGACGGGGCTCCGGGCAGGGCGCAGAGGGCGCGGGGCGCAGAGGGCGCGCCGGGGGCGGGGCGGGCAGGGTGCAGGGGGCGCGGGGCGCAGAGGGCGCGCCGGGGGCGGGGCGGGCAGGGTGCAGGGGGCGCGGGGCGCAGAGGGCGCGGGCGCGCCGGGGACGGGGGCGCCGGGCAGGGCGCAGAGGGCGCGGGGCGCAGAGGGGGCGCCGGGGGCGGGGCGGGCAGGGTGCAGGGGGCGCGGGGCGCAGAGGGCGCGGGCGCGCCGGGGACGGGGCGCCGGGCAGGGCGCAGAGGGCGCGGGGCGCAGAGGGCGCGCCGGGGGCGGGGCGGGCAGGGTGCAGGGGGCGCGGGGCGCAGAGGGCGCGCCGGGGGCGGGGCGGGCAGGGCCGCGCCGGCCTTCGGGACCCGGGCTCCCGCCTCCGGAGGGCTCGCCCCCCTGTGCCCACGAGCTGCCCACCGCGGCCGCTTTCTCCGGTGACAGCCACGTCCGCTGCCGTGGCGGAGCTTCGGTGAAGGGCGCTTTGTTTCCCGGTCCCAGGAGCCGGGACGGGGCGGCCTGCCGCGGGGCCCGCCTGCCCTTGGGACGGAGCCTCGCGTCCGCTGCGGAAGCCGGGGGGCAGCGAGTGCTGCTCGCCGCGGCCGCCCCTTCCCGCCGCAGGGCCCGGCGGCACCGAACGCGCCCGGGAAGCGGAACCGCATCCCCGTCGCCATGGCAACGCGCGGCGCGGCCCCTCCGACCCGGCTCCGGAACGGCCCGGAGGCCGCGCGCCGGCCGTCGCCGCCCTGGCTCCGCGGGCCCCGGCCCGGAGGCCTCCCCCCGCCGCCCGGCCCGCGCGCCGCCCCGCGGGCCCGCGCCTCACCAGGATGGCCTTGTCCTGCTCCGTGACGCGGCTCTGCTTCTTGCGGCCGAACAGGTTGCCCATGGCGCCCGCCCGCGCCCCGCGCCCCCGCCTCCCGCCGCCCGAACCCGTCGCGCCGTCGCGCCGTCGCCGCTCGCGCCGTCGCGCAGCCCCGCCCCCGACGGCGGCCGCTTGGGGCCCTGCGCCGCAGAACGCGAGCCGCGGCGTGGCGCCCCCTGGCGCCCGCGCAGAGACCTGCACGCTACGCCGCCCGGGCCGCGCACGGTGCGCAGGGCGAGCCGCCCGCAGAATGTCCGCACCTGCGCGGCCGGGACTGCGGCTTCGGCCTCCTTCGGTGGGATCCTTGCCGGTGGGCCCGGCGCGCAGCGTGACTTCCGAGGCCAGGGCACGAGAGGCCGCGCGGCCAGTGTCGTGGGAGTTCAGCCACCGAGTCCGAGCGCCCAGCAGCCCCGGAGAGGCCTGCGCGGACCAGAGGGCCACCCAGCACCCGCCGCCTGCGGCTGCGCCGCCCGCTCCGCCCCAGGACCAGGGAGGCGCCTTGGCTGCTGACTGCCCCGCTGCAGGTCGGCGAGGGGGCAGCTGGTGGTTCCGCAGCGGGAGACGGCGCAGCAACGGTTTGGGCACCTGGGAGGGACGGGGATCTCACCCTTAGGACCCACCAGAGGGGACCCTTCTCCCCTCCGCCCCGCTAGGTGCTGGACGACAGGTCGTGACTCTCCACTGAGTACTCACATCCGGTCCCTGTTTGCCAGATCTAGAATCTTTCTGTTAATGATCAATTTGCGCTTCTCTAGACCGCCCATCTGCTTTGGTTCTGGGGGCGCTTGACCCGCTGGCCCCGGCACCCTCCCCTGTGACTGCTGCTCAGCAGCCCTGCCCACCGTGCCCCGCCCTGTTCCCAGGAGAAATCGGGGGACCTCTAGCGTCATTCTGGGCCTGCGGACCAAGGGGTTACTTGGGGCCTCTGGCAGGGTGTGTGCTTTGGGGACACAGTGACAGCTTGCCTCCGACACACTCGGGCCACCTCCACCTGTCCCTGCGCCCCGGAGTCTTCCCTTGTGTCCCCCGAGGAACGTCCGGGAGCTCGGCGGGGCCATGTCACGTCGTTTCCAGCCGCAGAGGAGCAAAGTGCAAGGCTTCTCGCGGCGAAGCCAGCCCTGGGCCCCGGGTCTCCGGACAGTGCCCCGGGATCCCTGCCTGCTCCTCTGGGCCGCCGTGCGTGTGTCCCTCCTCGATGTTCCAGAGTCTGCAACACCTGGTGTCCTTGGGGTGTGACCAAGTCGGCTGGCATGCCACCGCAGTTGGGGTCTGGAGGCCACCAGGGCCACAGGTGGGGGCCTATCAGCCTTCCCTGAGCAGGTGACAGCCTCAGGTGGGGTCCTCGCGTGAGGGCCGCTGGCAGGCCGCCCTCAGGGAGCTCAGTGGGCTGGGCAGTCGAGGCCAGTCCACTCGGCTCTCCATTCCGACTTTCACACTCTCTGACCGGGGAGGCTGACGTTTCCAGTCTACCCAGCGATTCCACAGCCGCGGGATAAAACTTGGGAGTGGTTTCCAGACACAGCGGTGGGGCTAGGAGAGAGGGGTTTTCCTGAAAGTCACCCTGCGTACTTTCTGACTCCACCCTGAGCTGAGAACTTACTTATTTTAAAACATGTTTTCATTGATTTTTCAGAGGCAGGAAGGGAGAAACACCAGTTGGCTGCCTCCTGCACGCCCCCTGCTGGGGATGGAGCCCACAGCCCAGGCACATTCTCTGACCGGGAATGGACCTCAGTCCGTGGGGACAGCACTCAGTCCACTGAGCCACATCAGCGGGGCTTGAGCTGAGAATTTGAAGCCCTGGCTTGCCATTAAAAAGTGAATGTAGTAGAGCCCGGCCGGTGTGGCTCAGTGGATTGAGCGTCGTCCCATGGACTGAGAGGTCCTGGTTCCAGTACCAATAGGGCACAGGCCTGGGTTTCAGGCTTAATCCCCAGTAGGGGGCGTTCTGGAGGCAGCTGATCAACATTTCTCTGTCACATCAATGTTTCCAACTCTCCCTTCCTCTCTAAAAAAAGCAATAAAAACATTAAAAAAAAAATGCAGTCTTTCCCAGCGCACTCAGAAACCACCAGCCTGCCACAGTCCCCTGCCCCTCAAACCTGGCACCCAGGACACGCTTCCAGGCGACTGCGTGTGTGGCACAGCCCTGCCCGGAGCCCCATCCCGTCTTCATGGCTGTGACAAATGGCCGCAAACCAGGCAGGTTAAACACTGTCCCAGTCTGGAGGCTGCAAGTCTGAGACCAAGGTGTGGGCGGGGCCGGCCCTTGTGGACTGTCGCAGGCCCCTCTCCTGGCACCGCCTTCTCACAAGGACACAGTCATACTGGGTGAGGGCCCACACTAATGACCTCTGTAAAGACTCTCCAAGTAAGTTCGCAGTCTGAGGTGCTAGGAGTAAGACTTCCACATGAATGGGGGGGGGGGGGCACACGTGCAACCCTTAACACACGAGGATCATCACTTCATGTAACTTCAGGTGACTCTGGGGGGCGCGGCCAGGTGGAGATGCTGAGAATTAAGGTTGAGACATCTGGGGGGGTCAGCCAGCACAGCAGACAAGGGTTCTTGGAGAGGCAGCCTCACCCTAGACGGGGTCTGGCTGTGGTGATCCCCAAACTGGCCACGTGGTGGCACTGCAGGACAGGATGGAGGCCACAACGGTCCCCAGCACCCAGTGGCTCTTGGGGGGTCATTGCAGAAAGGCGGTCAGAGACCAGGTGGGGTGGGGGTGGGGTCTGGATACAGGCAGGATCTACCATGAATGTGTCGGTGGGTGCCTGTCCATCCGTCCATTCGTCCATCCATCCATCCACCCACCCACCCACCCACACTCGTTCAGCACCTGCCCCGTGTGGGCCCTGCACCCCTGATGCCATGGGTTTGCATGGGGCACAGACACAGGGTGACCTGGTTGTGTGATGGGTGAAGGGATATTGGGACAGTGGTCAGTGGGGGGACAGCGTGGGGACAGGAGGGTGTGCAGGAGCAGGGTCCAGGGAGGGGCTCATGTAACCTCGATGTTTGACATTTGTTTTTAAAGTGGCTCCGGCCACTCCCTGTGGGGAGAAGGGGTCATAATGGAAACGGCTTGGAGATGAGGGGTTGCCCCTCTGAGAGGGGGTGAAGGGGTGAGGTGGAGGGGGGCAGGCAGCCATGGGGGGAGGGGTGTGGAGGACGAGCAGCAGGGGATGGGGTCATTAAAGAAAAGCACAGCACACACTGGTCCTCACCACAGCCTTGTGAGGGGTCACCAGGGAAACTGAGGCACAGAGGAGTCACCTGTCCAAGGTGGGGCTGGCATGTGAACCCCTAATCTTGGGGTGAGTGGATGGGAAGGACGTGCAGCAGCGGTGGTGACCCTGGAAGTGGCACTGACCTGCACTGGGCAGGGAAGCAGACACGGCAAGAATTCGGCTTGTGTCTGAATCCTAATTGTAAGGTGACACATTCGTCATTTACAACAAGAAACGAGCGGCACAGACATGAACCGGCGGCTTGACCCCTGGCTCAGGCCTCTCCTCGGACGTGTCCCAGCCGCAGGGCTGGGCACTGAGGGCAGGCGCCTGTCTCGGGAGTGACAGCTGACGGGATGCTCCCGTGATGCCGCCTGGCCCACCCCGCAGGGTGCAGGCAGCACCCCCCACGTGGCCGAGGGGTTGTTTTGCAAAGACCAGGCTGCCAGCCCCGTGCTCCTTCGTGAGCAGTTTATTGTCTGCCAGGCTCTCGCGCCCACTTACAGCCCACGCCTTGTCCAAGTCCCTTCAGCCCTCATCCCGGTAGAATAAATAGACGTGTGAGCCTCCGCGAGGCTCTGGAGCTGGGTAGCGTCATGATTGAGTTTTCGCATCAGACCTGCACAGACTCACAGCGGGCGGCAGAGGCCGCACTGGGACAGGCCATGATTCTGTCTCAAAGCAGAGCCGCATGTGAGCCTGGAATCTGGGGAACCGCTCCCCGAATCGGACACTTTCTCAGTGCCTGTGGGTGGAGCTCAGCTCCCGGAGGTCCGGGCAACGCCTGGAGCACCTCGCGGAGCCGATGGCGCCGTGCGGGCAGTGGGACTTTCTGTGGCCTTCCTGCCCCTGCGTGGCTCTCACCCGGAACATGGTGGAAGGTCCTGTCCCAGAACCTTCTCCTGGTGGGAACATGCAAGGCCCACGGCACAGGGCCTCCTGCACCCAGCGCGCCGGGCGGTGCTGCCCGCCTGCTGAGGCAGAGCCTGGTCTGCAGTGAGGCGCCCTGACCTGCCTCACCGCTCTGCTCACTCAGCCTCGCGGGCCTCTGACTGGCAGGGTGAGTTAGGCACCTCACTCCTCTCTGGATAATCCTGATTCCCAAAGAAAATGGAAAAATTGCTTTTCAAATATCATCATTGTGGTTGTTTTGTTTTCTAAGAGCTATCTGTCTGTGATTGCTTAGCCCATTCTCCGCGGCCCTTCCTGGGCTCAGTTGTCATCACAGCTCCCCTGCTGCACCTGCACACGCAGACACACACACCTGCACACGCAGACACGCACACCTGCATATGCCTGTGCACTCAGACATGTACATGTGCACATGCAAGCACACACACCTGCACATAACTGTGCACACGCAGACACGCACATACCTGTGCACACACCTGTGCACACACCTGCGCACTTGCAGACATGCACACCCGCACATACCTGTGCACACGCAGGCACACACACCTGCACACTCACACAGCACAGGCATGCAGTCTGCACATGCCTGTGTACTTGCACATGCATAGACACATGTGCACACACACCCATACATACACACGCAGAGACACGTGCTAAAGCACTTGGCAGGGAGCTCTGCTGCGTCACCGCTGCACCCCTACGGGGACCCACCGATGCTCTCGGGTTCCAGCTGTGCCTCCTCATGTACACTGTGTGGTGCGTGTGCAAGCCCAGGTGGGAGGACCACAGGCCTGGGCAGCGTCCCTGCGCCTGCCAGGAAGAGCCGCCCGTCGGCAGAAACGAGCCGTGGCCTGGGCAGCAGCTGAGTCGCTGAAAACCTGCCGGACCCTCCAA